TAAATTAAGACAGTGATTTAGAACTTTCCCCCCACTTCAGGTTTGACTAGTTAGTTATCTCTTCTAGGGAAGTCAGGGGAAGAATGGTGTCTGACTCAATTAACCAGAACTCAGCTGAACCGTGTGCTACAGTCTTATGTACCTTTTTACTCTTACTCTGATTTTGACCATTCCTGAGGATTTGTATGTTAAAAAGGATCATTGCCATTTGAAGCCTTGACTATTTTCAGATGTAGTGACAGGTCTGAAGTCTGACTGTTAATCAAAAGATCACAAAGCTGTCTGTTGTCTAAACCAGAATTTACCAGTCTAGATGGCGTTGGTAAATGCACTGTGTAGAACCCACAGTTTCTTACACGTGGTGACTTAGCACCAGCGATCATAAAAGATCTAGTTTTCTAACTTGGTATTGTTCATCTGCCTGTCTTCATGTGACGTATTGCTTTCATATAAAACTAAGAAATAGTTCAGAATTAGCATGGAACGGTTTTATATGATCTTACTTGTTTTGTTTAGATTGGCAGATACAAAGCCCCTTTCCACCAGCTAAGAATATCGTATGGCACTAATAAAGGGAAGAATTACACTGAAGAGGAGGATCGCTTTCTAATCTGTATGCTTCACAAGCTAGGATTTGATAAAGAAAATGTCTATGATGAATTAAGACAGTGTATCCGAAACTCCCCGCAATTCAGATTTGACTGGTTTCTCAAGTCCAGAACTGCAATGGTATGTGTTAATCTGTTTCGCTTTTTGTTCATGAGTGCCTATGACAACACAGTTATACACCAGGCTAATTAAATAGCTTCTGAAATACTGAGGTACGTGCATGTGTACAATACATTAAATTTTTATAGACTTTGGGCAACTGTAGTGGATGGCAAATGCAGTAAACTAAAAAGTCTTACAGAAGGAAAAAGTCAAAATTCCAAGGTCCTGTTTTTCAAAATCAACATGAATTTGAGTTAAATGCAAGCATGTTTTAAAAAGCAAACATCTGCGATCAAATCCATTCCTGTGAAGCCAGCCAGTAACTATCAAAACATATTTCATTCTGTTTTCGCTCTGCCAAGATACAGCAAAAAACTTACCTATGTACAGGCATTTCTAATATTATTTTTACATTACGTGGCTGCCTAATGTAGTGAGGGAATATGTTGTGCAATTTAGGAGCTGCAAAGGAGATGCAATACTTTAATCACCCTGATTGAAAGAGAAAACATGGAACTGGAAGAAAAGGAAAAGGCAGAAAAGAAGAAACGTGGACCAAAACCATCTTCGGTAAGATTTAAAAAGGCATTTCTGTGAAAAAGCTCATTGGAAGACAGGGTGCTTTTCTAGTTGTCTAGGACAAGTGATATCTAAAGTTATTTAAAAACAACAGCAACAAAAAACCTTATAGGGCAATGTTAAGACCTGCTTAAAATTCACACTGTCATTCAGCTAGTATAGTTGTGATGTCAAATAAAGGAAAATAAGTTTGGGTTCTAAATTCTAGCTCACATGCTTTGGAGCAGATAAATTTGTTACGGTTTGGATCACTGAGCTGGTACGCTGTATAGGTTTACCTAAATCAGAGATTTATTCGGCCTTTTGATTAATTGTTATCCCTGAAAAAATTACACGTTTACCACTGAGAGGGATACATAGGCGATGCAGACCATTCATTCCCCTTTGAGAATGCTACAGATCTGCTTACAAGTGTTCCTATGTAGAGACTCTGCTGTCTGCCATCACTTTCCTTGTACGTGGGTGGGTTGGTCATGAAATGGGCTTCTAGAGCTAGATTTGAGAAAACGGCACATACGCCTGACTACTCTCTTTGCTGACTCAATTTAAAGTATTGCTAAATACACAGGCCTATTTTGTAAAAGAAATACCAGCTTTGCCCATTTTCTTGCCTAGATTTGTTGCTTAAGTTGTTGTTGCCTAGAGCTGTTGTATCAAAAACTTAGAAGCACAACTTTGCAGATGTGCAGAAATCAGTAAAGTTAAGAGTGGTGGATTAATAAGTTTCCTAGAACTGTTCACAGAACATTTAAACAGGTATTTAGAAATACCATTTTATAAATAGGAAGCTTTATAACATCCTTACTTGCTTCTACACACTTTTTACCTCTGTGAAATCGTACTCTTCCAGAATTGGAAGAATACAAAACAACGGCTATCCTGAGGAGGATGTGCATATTTGCCATATTACAACATTTGCAATTTATCCCATTTTAAAGCTGCCAGGGTGTAAATAATTTCCATCCGCTTTGACTTGAAATGCATTGCTTGCTTACAATCTTTTTGTTTCACAGTAACTCACTAAAAAAACTTACCTTACAGGCACAGAAGCGCAAAATGGATGGTACTCCTGATGGTCGTGGAAGAAAAAAGAAACTAAAGCTGTGAATGCAGAATTTTTGTAATCACTAAATTTAAAAAGTAGTTCTTTAATTTACGGGTCTTCATAAGATGTACTGTATAATGCTCAACTATTATGTCATTAAAGGACATCGGGTTCATCTGTTTACTGAACTAGAAACATAGTACTTAATGTAGTTTCACTTTTTTAAATGCAACAGCTGTGCTGAATTTTTTTTACCATTAACACTTGAAGTAATAAATAGGCTTCATTTATTAATAAGGCTTCATGTGACTTTTTTCTCATTAATGTTTCCACTTGAATACCTATTTATTTAGTCATCCCCCAATTTTTTTCTCTTAGGGTGGTGTGAACATTTTTTCTATTATGATCAATAAAACTATTTAGTTGTGTTTCCTTGTTACAAACCACCACCAGTCAAGACCCCATTTCTGTAAATTCTGTGGCTCTGACCTTACCTTTATTGAACTTAATTTTACTGCACAAATATATTCTGTTCTTTGACATTAGTGGAAAGGCCAGGTATTTACCTCAAGAACTGATGATCAACATACATACAGATTGGAACAAAATCATAACACCTTTCTTCTGGCACAGATTTTAAGCAGAAAAATAAGCCAGTCACGCTGAGGCTTGTACTTAATTTGAAGGGCCTAAGAATGGTAGAATTGCTTTTATTGGCAAACAACGAGTCAGAACAGAAAACGTAACAATATGTAAAACAACCCGCTTCTCTCAAACAGCTGTGGTAAGTGCAGAGACAGTCTTGATTACTGCGAAAAGAACCAGTGCTGACTCTAGGGGTGCAAGATTGTCATTGTCTGGCAGTCCACGCTGTTCACTGAGCTAGTCAAACTGTACCATGCGCGAGTGTTCCCTCCACTGTCCTTTCTTTTTTACGTATCTGGCATATAATGACTGAGATGGAATCACGTGTTTCCCAATGCCATCATCTAATGTAGCATAATTTTGGAATTTACTAGGAAAGAAAAAAAACCAAACCAAAACAGAACAAATGCTCAGTCCGCAGTGAGTAATCTTTGCTCAGTTTTGGCCCTTTTAAGAACACATATCAAAAGGCGTCAGTGTTGTGTAAACAGGGAGAAGTGCATCCCTAGAAAAATCAGCTTTTTGTAGCATAAGCACTTAAGCAAAAGGAGACTTAAGAAAAGCTGAGAATTCGCACGTGTAGATTTCATGTACAGCAGTGCAGTTCTTACTAGCACATGAAATGTGTTTCAATTTGCAGGTGACTGATTTGCAGACACCAGCTGAAAACAGGTTGAGTAACCATACTTTGCCCTTCAAAAAGTCAGAAGAACGTGGTATGTACAGCAGAGTTAAGAGCCAATCTACAACACTTTACAAGTTGAATTGTCATGGCAGCATCAGTCTAACTGCTTACACTTAGTGTACCCTAAACAAAAATGCTGCAACGCTGAAGCCTTCCTTTAAAAGCATCCCTTTGCAAAGCATTCCTTTTCACAAAAAAACCCCAAACACCATCAAAAACCCAAACCACTACAAGCCATGATTGCTTGTTTACAACTAGCCTAAATAAAAACCTTTAGAAGAAGCAGAAGGGAAAGATTTATTAAATAGCTGAGCAGCACTTCATTTGTGCCAACAATTCTCAAGTGCCAGTATGTAGAAAGCGAGAGGAACTAAACCTTAATCTCCCAAATGGCACCCCTCTAGTTATAGAAAATTCTACTCAAGTAGAAGGAAAAAAAACAAAACAAAGTTTTTGCTCTAGATGACACAAGTGTGTTCCCCCAGTGCCATGTGGCAAAATAAGCTACCTTTTAGAAGTATTTGCCTGTATTTTGATGCTATAATGTCTGTATCAAGCAAAGGAAGACAGGTAATTATGTACAATATGGGAAAGCAGTCATTAGTATTGTTCTGAAGTACTAGTATCTGTTTAAGGATGTTTGAAAGCCCTTAATGCCAGCACCTAAGCATTAACATACTATTTTCCTAGTGTGGCTTTACAATATAGTTCTAATTCTCATCGATCACATGTAATGCTCTCCTTACAGATAATTGCAACAGCCTTACCTGTGTGAGTCTCCCACCGTTGTCCATGTGTCTGAGGTCCTCATTAAAATTTGAGACAAAACCATTGGTATCACTCATTTAAAAGAACACTATCATCTACTACTTAGCTTCCATTCTAATGCTACGACCTTCTTCCTTCCCCAGCAATAATTCTTTAAAAAAACAACAAAAAAACCCAGAAAACCAAAAACAATTACATGAAAGCTAGATACTGTACACGTAATCAAAACCAGCATCCTTCTAAGCACCAACCTTTCATGGGGGATATAAGGCACGCTTACAGCTGCATATATTCAAAACATTAAAGAAAAACTAGGTTTAAAAAAAAAAAAGAAAAAAGCATCAACTCCCATTCATGGAGTACTAGTTTGAATTCTATAAATAAGTCACTCACACATGAACCTAGTACACCAACCCTGTCAGAAATAGCGGCCCATTACAAATAATGGAACCAGCATGAGAACTGGAGCAGCCGCTTGTCTGTGCAAAGGAGTCAGCCAAGAGCTAGATTTGAGAGTCTGCTTTTTGGTGAAATGACATGTTAAAAGACAAGCACCCAAGAAATCGGCTAGACTTCCGAACTGTCGCTGCTGCCGTGTCGGGTGGTCACAGCGTCACTGCTGCTGGAGAGGCTGATGGGCACTTTGCTTTTCCCAGCACAGGGCTGTTTCCTCTGCTTCAACAAAAACAGAGTTACGACCGCAGTGCAGATCAGGAACAGCAGTCCTGTCACGCCTCCGGTAACGGGTACAGTACCGCTTCCAGAGTCCCTGCTTGTGATTTCCAGAACTGGCCTGTGATGCGGCGCGCCAGCTGGGACCACGTCCTTCTGGATGACGACAGCTTTGTCAGAACGGTCAAGTGCAATATGCTGAATATTCGTGCCCCTGTTTTTATTTGCTCCAATGTCTCGCATGAAGACGGGGGCGTCTGGGTTGGCTCTTCTGCTGCGTTTAAAGGCTGTGGTGCTAACTCTTCCTTTAGCAGAGGACAACCCGTGGTGGTAGTCAAGACTTCTTTTGCCATTGTGCCTGTGTGCATTTTCCTTCGATCGGACCGTGTAAATAGTGTGAATGTACCATTCTCGGCCAGCTGCCACCTTAAAAAAAACCCAAACACATAAAAACCCAACGAACCAGAACAACCACCCCCGTGCACATTTACTATAAACTGGAAATCACCCAAGCATCAGATGGATCCAGACAGATGTCCCCAGTTTGCTGCCAAATATGTCTAATTAAAGTCAACGGCAGAAATAGGCACTTGGAGATAGGATTAATGCAGACTGCCGAAGTAGGTCAGATAAACTACCCTATAGGAGAGCCTATTTCTTTCTAGTGTTAATGCAGAAAGGCTACTGCATTTACGGAACAAAACACTAGTCTTAATTCAGGCAAGAAGAACCCCACTTCAGGAAATCAAAAAAAGACTTCAGGAATTTGAAATTAATCTTACTTAAAGCAGGACGCATAGTTCTCTCTCTTTATCTCATATCTTTTTTTTTTTTTTTCCAGTTGCAAGAAAATAAAGTCCAATTTCTTAGTTTTCTCTTATGTAAGAAGGCCCCCATAGTTAGCTAAACCAGTGACTTCTGCTCCCAGTCACAGGTGTACATGTCTGCAATAACAGCAAGGCTGCAGAAGCAGCTCAGTGTTAGAAAGCAATGCTGTCATTGTTTCTATGCTGTTAGGGGGAGGGAGCAAAGTAAATGTGTTGCTGAAGTCTGTCGCTGACCAACACGGTGCCCGTGATTACCTGCCTGCTCTGTTCTCCACCTCAGTCGTCTTTTAGCATGAAAGAATTTCTGTGGTACACTTCTCAGACAATTTACCTGGAACAGTGGAGCAGATGACAAGCTGAAACCATCAGAACCAGGCTGGTTTACTAGAGGAAAAGCATCTGCATGATCAGCTGCTAATGTAGCATGAAACTCCAGGTTCCCAAAGGCTCTTGCTTGTGTCTCAGGTTGAGCTTTATCCTAAAGGAAGTAAGTTTAGTATTTCCAGATTGACATGGAAATCAGGGATCTAAAAACACACGCTACCGTAACTCTTTGTTTACGTACCAGGATCTTGAATCTGTACAAGAGGGACGGCGAGTCAGCCAGGCATCCGTATTCCTGATTGTCCGGGCTGTACTTGGGCACGTACCCATCGGCACCGGTGCAAAGGAACACCTTCTCGATGTTGCAGCTGAAGGAGTCACCAAGATTCTGCACTGGATCCACCATCACTCGGCCATAGATTTCAGATCCTAGTAAAGCAGATGAATACATTTTACATTATACCAGTCAATTTAAAATTATTAAATCAAATTATTACCAAACCATGTTGTTAAAAATTCTCAGGACAGGAATTATCTAGCTTTAGGTGTATTTCCCTCTGCGCGTGAAGACAGTATGTTCCATGGCTGTTACTACTAATTTATCACAGGCTTTAGTCTTATTTTCTGTTACAACTCGCAGTGACGTGTAGTTCTTAACAGTGCAGCTCTTTTTTTAAGCAAGCTTTTCCCTTCTCTTCACTAGAGGGCAACCCATATTCACGTATAAGAAACTATCCAACCTTAAGCAAAATAAACTTCTTAACAGGACATTTGGGTTTCAGACTGATGACTCCAATAAGGGACCAATAAAAACCAAAATTATTTCTGATCCAATATGGCCATTACCAGGAGGTTTCCCTTGAACCTGATAACTGCTCCGGTCAATGAGCGAGTAGAGTGTGGAGAGCACCTGCCCGGGGCCAGAAGTGGGAGGGGAAAAAAAAAAATGATCACGAATGAGTCTGAGGAGCTTGGCTGAAGCCAGCTGCAGTTACTGTGCACCCAGGCTGCAACTGAGAACAGCTGCATGACCAAGTCAAGGAGTCTCAAGTGTACAAGAATTCAATTCCTGCATTTCCGACTAGAATAACCTAAGCACTGAAATTACTTAGCCCCCTCAAAATCAGGCAAAAAGTTCTAGTGTGGGCAGCTTCAAAGCAAAACAACCAGAGTGAGGGGAATATGTGATTATGCAGTAACTGAGCAAGAGTTTTCAGAACTGCAGTTTCAGATACATGCACCTAAATTCTGCACCTACCTTTGGCATGCTTTTCCTCTCAGAGCCCATAAACAGAACCACAGCTGTAACTGTAATTCAGTTACACTAAATTACATCATGTTTTAGTGCTTCTGTATTTTACTTTTCCGCAGTGGAAATACATAGACCATGTAGGGGTTATAAAACTAGTAAAATACATATTCAGCTCTTGTTAAAAGTGGTTCTGTTTTAGCTTTCATAATACGCTGAATGTAGAATTGACTTTTTACCTTTGGTAAAGGCTACATCAGCTCCTTCTCCAAATCCCATTGATCCATCAGATATCCAAAGCTCCTTTTTGGACAGCAGAAACATTTGAGTATTTAGACTGAACTCTGCTGCCACTGGGTCACTGACCTGTGGGGAAAAGTGAAATTAAATGATCAAAAAAAAAAGCCTTGGTTGTAGCTTTACAATGAGCATTGTACACCATTGCCGTAGTAGTGACGTGCTGATCAAACCTTTCAGCAGTACACAGCATCTGTAAGAATCCCTCCTACATACATACATAAACCTCCTGTTGTGCTTCTCATCATGACCCATTAAAATACCCAACCGTAGTGCTTTATTTCAACGTTGCCGAGTAAAATAGCAAAAGATACCCGCTTCCTCAGATACAGGACAGCAATGTATCTTTTCAGTGACACTTGCATAAGTTACTGGGAGAAGCGGGCTGTGGGCAAGAGGCCAATAAAACTCGGGGAGGACCAGAACCTAGCTCAGCACCAACTCATTTCCCCTACTCTCAACAACAATCCGCATATTCAAACCGGTGAGCACAGGATGGGAAACCTCACCCGCCCTGCCTGCACTGTGCATGTTCCACTTGCGACCTAGAAGCTGCCTGCAATTTGCCCAGAAAAGTAACCTGGCCAACGGCCCGCGCCTGGAAACAACATAGGAGTTGCCCTGCAAGTAGGTTAGTTCCTCCGGAGCGATGGTAGGTCGCTCCCAGTCAGCGCCTTTCCGCCTTCCCCGCCACAAACGCCTCGTGGCCGCAGGAGCCCAAGAGAGCCCAGCACATCTGGATGGAGGAAGCTGGCTCCGGGCCCCGGGTCTGTGCCTGCCCGGTGGCTCCGGCACTCCGGACCCACCACGCGTGTAATGGCAGGGAGATGTAGAGGGGAACAGAAAGCAAAAGGCTCTCCAACGCAGAAATACGGTAAAGAACTAAACTGTCCCACGCCACTATTTAATCTTGTTGACCACAACAAACCCAGCATCTAGGGGTAACAGTCATAAGGGTGTGATTATATACACAGAAGTGCAAAATAAACTTAACATGCAAATGCCACCACAGCTCCAGTTATTTCCTTCCTCATCAAATCACTTTCCTCTTTCCGCGTAGCGTTCATGTCCTGCGTTACAAGGTGGCGACAGGAAGACTATTGCTGAAGCACTATCTTTAAATTAAATTCAACACCAATTGCTCGAGCAAACAAGACTGAGACATTCAGTTAATTTGCATGTAATACAGTTGTCTCCACACTTGCCACACGTGCCATGCCACTGGATAATGAAGCAGAAGGCTAAAGAGCAGCTCTAACGGTCAAAAGGGCTGAACGGCTCTGACTGACACTGACAAGGCCTCTAAGGTATCTGGTAATTTTTTGGGGAAAAAAAAAATTAATCAGGTCATTTTTTATGTATTGACTGAAGGATGCAATGTTATACTAAGAGGTTTTAAAAAGTTCAGTACGTTTACTGGAAGTCTCGTCTCAGATTCAGAGCCCTTGGTCTCCAAATGCTATTCAAGTCATTCCTCAAGCTAACTGCAACAGAAAAACTGGTCTTTCTAACAGTCTGCGATAGTAACTTACTGCTACTTGGTGCACTGCTGGGGTTTTTTTTTGGTGTTTTTTTTGTTGTTGGTTGGTTGGTTGGGTTTTTTTGCTTTAATATATACAGGAAAATTGTCACAAAGCCACGCTAACTCTGAATGAAGTTTCCCACTGCTTGACAAAAAGACCCTCTTGATACAATTCTATTACATTGAATCTCAGTTTTAAAAGTCAACCTCAGGACTACAAGTTATTTTTGAAAACAATCTTGCTTAGAACCAAAATTCCTTCCCCCTTCAGCCCCCGCCTTCCTGAAAAAAAAGCAGCAGTACTTGGGAATAGGCTGGACTATGAGGTAAATAAATGGAAAAATAATATTTTAATTACTGGAGAAAAATTAATTTAGTTTGATTTTATCTCACCGGAGAAGACGAGATCTAGAGCAATCTACAAGCACTGTAAAACTTCTCCTGAAGCCATCTGAAATACTCTGTGATTTTCTCTCGACAACTGGTACTGGATGGCCCGTGCCAGAACACCTCTTTCAGTGGTTACAGAACACCTGCCTTTCAGCCTAAATTTGCTTTTGGCTGGTTTTGCCCACAAGGCTTCATGGAAAAACGTCCTAAGTAAAACAGTGTACCTGTTGGAACCTGATGTCCATATCAAACGCAATTGGGTCCCGTGGGTTGCAGATGACGGGAAGGGCGTATTGCTGACCCGGCGCAGCAGTGCAAGGGATGAATTTCACAGTGTAAGTACCTGAGTAATCTCGTACCTGTGAAAAGATTAGAGAACTGAGCTGCACAGTCTCTGAACAATCACTTTTTCAGCTCACATTGCCCCTGAGCAGAAGCCGAATTCCCAGCAGCATCCTGAACACTTCCACAAGCTTGGACATTGCCGTTTACGATCACGGTGCTTCACCTCGTGCAGGAGGCGTGTGCACCACCACCGTCAGCGCGCTGCAGCAGCGCAGGCAAGGCACTGACGCGCGGTCTCTCCTCTCCTCCTCTGTAAAACGAGGACTAATACAGAATATACCCACTCTCAGGCCTTTGAGGGACTGACCTTGCCGCAGTGGTGGTGGGAATCAAAGAGGTCAATGTGCAAATCTAACACACTAAATCTCTCTAAAGAGAAGGTGATTTTGGCCGGATTTTTAGTGAATGCAAATGGCTCCTTTCCTGCCAGCTCAGCAAGAGCTGAGTAACTGGGCTGTCCCCCTCTCACAGAAGCCAGCCACTTTTAAGCAAGCCTCTTCTGCCCTGTTAGAGGCACAGGCTTTGGGGCCACAGGCGTTCCCGCTGACTCCCCAGCTCCGCAGGAGCTAAGCAGCTTTGCCACACGTGGGGACAAACCCAGCTTCTCATAACAGCAGCAGCACAGCTTCCTGGCAATGCCAAGGGAGATAACGTTAAGGCAAATTCTTCAAGAGAGGTCACAGCTCCAGCACTGGCCTGCTCAATGAATGGTGCCGGCTAGCGCTAGCGGGAGCACGGGTTCAGGCCTCGGGACTCAAGCTCCAGGGACACCGGGGACTTCTGACTCTTCATTATGTAATGAAAATACGTGACTGCGTCCAAACGAGTTGATGCTTACTGATCCTGTGGTGCTGACGACTGCATGGAAAGTATGTTAAAAACCAACATTCCCTTTGCTTCCCTAAATTCAAGTCTGAATGCAAACTCACAGCAAAGTCGGAGATAAAACTCCACTGCTGCACAGGCTGGTGGAAGGTCGGCTCGCTTCGTAACAGACTGAGTGTAAACGTGAGGCCAGGGTGGTCAGCAGACATCACCATTGATGCCAGAGGTGTTCCTGAAAGAAAAAAAGGCAAATTGTAATTTGCCATAATTAATACTGATGCCTGGCATGGTATAAAATCAGCACACAAACGCAAAGAAGCAAGAGAATGGAAAGAAATTAACTTACACCCCAGAAAAAGAAGTGCCTCAGTTACTTATTCCCCTTCTACACCGAGACAGACCCTTTACCGTGACACCTTTCTCCTCTGCCAGGTGGAGAGCACTGCAGATACTCTGGCTAGCAGAGTGGGCAGGCTGGGTACGCACCTGGGTGGGACATCACCAGCCGGCCCCAGAAACGAATCTCTGTTCGGAAGTTCACCACTAGTTGCCCTTCGTCATTGATCCGCATACTCATGGGATAGAGGGAGCCTAGGGAGGAAAAGCCAACGATTTTACCACTAACGTTTCCTAAGTGCATTTTTAAAGGAAGCCTCTTTGTGTGTTTTCTGCATCTGGAGATTTGAAACACTTTACCTGAACCCTGGCGCTCTTTAAACCCTGTCACATTGATTGTTTTGAGATCTCCAAACCCACCAACTTCAGAAGAAATGCACTCATTTACACCTGCTAATGGTTCAATCCATTAAGGCAGATTTGTTTTTTCCTCTCTTTTGCTGACATAAGGCCAGACTCACCTGAAGTATATCCACGTATGCCGATATAACAGAGTGCAGGCAGGATGTCGTGGTTTAACCCCAGTCAGCAACTAAGTACCACACAGCTGCTCACTCACCCTTTCCCCCCCCATGGGATGGGGGAGAGAATTGGGGGAAAAAAATGTAAAACCCGGGGGTTGAGATAAAGACAGTTTAATAGGACAGCAAAGGAAGAGAAAATAACAATAATAATAATGATAAAAGAATATACAAAACAAGTGATGCACAATGCAATTGCTCACCACCCGCTGACCGATGACCAGATCGCCCCTGAGCAGTGATCGCTGTCCCCCGGCCAACTCCGCCCAGTTTATATACTGAGCATGATGTCATATGGTATGGAATACCCCATTGGCCAGTTTGGGTCCTGGCTATGCTCCCCCCCAGCTTCTTGTGCACCTGGCAGAGCATGGGAAGCTGAAAAGTCCTTGACTCATATAAGCACTGCTTAGCAACAACTGAAACATCAGTGTGTTATCAACGCTATTCTCATACTAAATCCAAAACACAGCACTATACCAGCTACTAGGAGGAAAATTAACTCTATTCCCAGCCAAAACCAGGACACGGGAGAAAGAAGGGGTCTGGGACTTTTCTGCCACATGGACACCAAGGCTCACTCCAGCAAGGTCCCTTTTGCAGGCCCTTCCCTGCACAGGGCTATGTAAGTACTTCCCTTGCCCTGTAACTGCACACCAATTCAGCACTGGAGTCTACCTCTCCGTAAGAGAGAGAGTCTGCTTTAGAGTTGGTCTATGCACTAATTTATCTCATTTTTTATAGATTAAAAGCAGCATGCAATTGAGGGAAGATTCAAAACATCTAGTTCAGTAACATACGACATTAAAAACCAAACATAATTGTCCTTTGGGTGGGTGTTTTAACTGAGGGAGTCAGCGTGCTGTTACTGCTTTTGAGATTCTCAAGGCTTTTTAGCATCGAGTTATTGACCACACATCATCAGAACGTTGAATAGGATGGAGTCTAGAAATGATGGCATCTGAAACAGCTCACCTTGGAGCTCAGATTCAGGAGGGCTGCCTATCCCATCTTTCCAGAGGATAGCTGTGTCGTACACAAAGGTGAGTCTCAGTTCAGACTGCAAATCAAAATGTTGCCAGCCACCAATGCCAGCAGGGGAGTGGAAGACATAGGAGACATAGAGAGGCACCCGCAGGGTTACATACGACTGCACCAGATTTAAGACCTGAAAAACATTGAGGTACCAAGGTTACTGCATGCAACCCCCAAAAAAAATTTCACTGCCAACTTTGCATTCTCATGAACTGCACTCTTTAAACCTAAGCAAAAAAAACCTGCACAGAAACATTTTACATCTGTTACTGACATCACTATTATTTCAGGTCCTGCAAATCACCTCACTTGAAAGTGTTCTCAAATCTTTGCCAGTTTAACATAACAGGGTTTGTACCTCTCCAAAGTAAGGACCATCTAAGATTTTGTTTTACCTTGGAATTTTAAAAAAAAAAAAAAAAAAAGCCTTCAAAACAACCTCCATAGAAATTGAAGGTGGCCTAAATTAAAATTCCAGATGAGAACAACCACATTCCTTAGGCATTCAGAAATCCAACACAAATTTAGAAACGAGTCCTGTAAGTAACACCTACCTTTACTATAGATTGAACTGTGTGGATTATGGCACCCTGAAACACTGCTATTTAAAACTACGGTCTGAGTTAAGAAGGTGTCTCTCTACCAAGCAACTAACAAGCAACCAGAATGGGCGGCCAAGCAGACAATTAGTAAATAAATCCTCTTTGGCCACTGACCATCAATTGAGAAGGTAACAGTTGAGGACCTATGGAATGGGAAAGCATCAAGCTGCTGAGCCAAGGCTGATTCAAGGTGAATCCGCACAGAGGCTCTACAGCCCCTTGGAATCTCCTCTAATGTAAGTGCAGTTGCTGTAGGACGTTTGTGTGTTGGGTTATTTTCCAAGTAAACGCAATGTGCTGTCAGACACTTCACAGGGGAGCCGCCGCGCCTGCTTTGTGATCGATGTTGATGTAATTCATATCAAAGACCTGGAACGATGGCCTGTTTTGCTCAGGAAAATTACATGTTTGTTTGTTCTTTATCAACCAAGCTTCTGTTTATAAAATCTTACCTACTTGACAGCTCTGCCTAAAGCCCAAACACTGTAAACCTAAATTAGAGCTTCTAACTAAAAAATTTTTTTTTTTGTAAAAAAGCGGTTTTATAATGTAGCCTTAGAACACACTTCCAGAGTTAATAACATACTTTACACATATGGTTTACTTCTATAAGGCAATGAAATTGTAGCCTCTTCTTTGAATACATTGCTACACGGGTGATAGTTTGGAAAAGCTCTTTGAGTCAAAAAAGCAGAGTTTCTAAAATCCAGACTAGGAGCAACAGCAACGCAGTAAGCTGTGCTCAATTACCAGGAAGATGAATCACGTCTGTGCACAGAAATCCAGTGCAAAGCAACAAATCTGTACTTCCAAAAACATTTGTGCTAAGGGAACACGTAGCAAACTGCCTGGATAGTGACTAAATCCTTTCTCATGCAATCCTTAGTAACGTTTGCTTTTGGACTTATGCTTCCAAAGCCTCCCGTTGAGAGAGGAAGGCTCTTCGGTGCCACATACCTGCCCATCTGTGCCAATGGAGCCGCTGCAGTCCGTCAGCAGCTCAGACATATCGTAGTAACTGTTGAACTCCCAAAGGCAAGCCTCAAGGTTGAGGTTCTGGTAGAAACGCAAGGTTTTGGCAGACCGCAGAGCACTGCTGTACTGGTAAGGTGACGTTTCTCCGATCACTTTGGGGTTCTTCGTTTCCTCCGTAATAAACCCATGTTTGGTCTGGATCTCATTGTAGTCCAGTAGGTTGGAGCACTTATGGTGCCCCACACGAGTGCCATCTGGGCTAAGCGTTAGCTCAAAGTTGGATAAGGGGCGTGTGGAGATAACGGGCAGCATTCCTAAAACATAAATGTCACACGACCCATTAACATCCTGAACGGAAACGAAGTATTCATTAACTGCTTGTGAACGTATTTTTAGAGCTGGAGTCTGGAAACATAGGAGCTAAGGATGCCCAATGTTTCATCCATACATTAACCTTGCAATTGGCAAATTGTTCATTAAACATGGATTATTCATGGTTCTGCCACAATGCAGCAAACAACTGTGGAGACAAACCTGTGGGAGAGGAAAAGTCCAAAGCAGCATGTGTTAATTAATCCTCGCCACTTGATGCTTACCATCCATATGGGGCATTGTGACTGTTAGTCGGATCAGATTGCGATGGTCAGGATCGTCTGGACCCGTGTAGCGAATTTTAGCGGAGAAAGGTTCCGCTCCTACTGTTCCTGGGATGCGAGGTTGGCAAAGACCTGAGCAAAGAGGAAAGACAGGTTGTGAGATGCCTGCTAAACCGTGTCGTATCTGTGTTAAGGAGCTTAGAGATGTCTGTCCCTAGAGCTAGGTCAGAAACCTCGACACGCTAATTAGGGAGTTCCTCACAGCTCTGCTGTCTGGTCTAACTCCTAGGGCCAAGAAGTCCTTTTCCAGAGAGGCAAGGGCAGAACTATAGAAACCCTCCAATGCCCAGCGGCGGCTGAGGAACCTGACCTCTTCCTGATAAGGATTTGTTCTTCCTCCCTACAAAAGGGAAGATGGCAACTTTACATCAGCATTTACCTTGGCAGCCATCACTTAGCGAGGTGAAGGTCAGGGTGGTTCACAACTACCCCTCAGCTCTTGCCACAAAAAGCAGGCTGCCTGAGGGGAGCTGACATCTTGCAGAGAACAGCTAACTAAAATACACAGGGGCAGTCTGTGCCATTCTGCAGGGTTCACCACTTACACTGGAGAGGTATGTCAGGTTCTCTCTTTTTCTGTGTATGACTGAGGCAAAGATTATTTCTGATTAAATTACACGAAGAACTGGCACTTTAGGAGCATAGCGGTAAATCCACAGAGGAGCTATGGTGCATAATGGCCACTTTAGACCTATAAATCTAATACGTAAGAGCCTCAGGGAACCTTGAAAACTTCGCTTAGGCTACTACCTAACTTCCTAACGATGGAAAGTCTCAAGGGAGCTACTTTTCAGCCACTGAACATGAACACAACTGCCTAAAACCTTGATGGATTTCAGTCCGGATTACATGCCCAAAAGCTTCCCTTCCTTCCCCAACTTGTGATCTCAACAAAAAATACCGCCTCTACCCACAAGCCTTGTCCTGTCTTGTTGACAGGTCACTGCCACTACAACAGGACCATCACTAATACGCCGGTAACACAAAACTTTTGCAGTTCTTCCCACATACTTCAATCCTACCCGGGGCTTTTGCTCTGCGGCTGGAGGAGATGGAGGTGAAGGACTCCATGTAGCAGAGGAGATGTGGCAGAAGGACTGAACTGCACAAAACAAAGAGCTGAGGAAGCACAGCATGAGCCACTTGCATAGTCGGTGAACTAGTGCTTCTCTCAGCCAGTGAGTATTTAATTATAGAGCCTAAATGAAACATTTTAGTCTAAAGAGACAGAGAAGAGTCACTCCCTAGTACCCAACATTTTGGTCCCTTGAATCCCAAGATGCAGTAAAGTCAGGCTCCTGCTTTAATTTGGGCAGAATAGGACTTTAAAGTAACTCCCAAGTAACTGTTCTAGTCACTAACCGATTGAGCAAAAAGATGCATTTTCCTCATCTGAATTTCTGAGAAAAAGCAACAGGTTAGACATACGCATCTAAATATGGATCACAGTTCAGAAACCTGAGGGATGTGGGCTAAACCCAGAATTAGGATGTCCCCTTACCTTCTGAGGCATAGCCTAAGTTCTCAGCAGAGTTATGCATGCAGTGCTGCAATATCTGAATTTCCACATGGATTTCATGCCCCCACCCTTTTCCAGCACCTGTATTTTAACTGTCTTTAGTCTGCAGGTCTTTAGACAACACCAAATTCAATACACCTACAATCTGCTCTCAGTGTCAGTAGCTGTGTTGTTTAAACTAAAACCACATGGAAATAGAGGTGTATTTGAAATACGTATATTGAGAAAAGCAAAGGACCCAAGACTGGGGAAGTCAAATTCTGCTCTACTCACTAGTCAAATTATGTGTCAAAAATCAGTATCACCATACACCCACCAATCTTCTACACATGACCTATGATGGGCGCACACTCTTGAAATACCAGAGCTGATGAGACGATTACAAGATGCTTTTGCCTTTCACTAGCAACAGTCCCATATGTGTATGAAAAAAAATTAACTAACATACTAACATAACTAACCTAAACCAAAACACCCCATAGCAGACCACCATCAGCTGCAAACACTGCCTCATCTTTTCCCAAGAACGGCTACCTAATTCCCATCATTAACAACTTACCTTCCTCTCTGTTGACTGTGTAAATTGGACTTAGCAGCTCCAGACCTGCAGCACCATTGGCATTCACAGCTCGAGCTGCACACTGAAGCCTGGAGCCTGCCTGGAAGTATATAGAGTCCAGGGAGATGGATTTGCTGCTGGTAAAAAAAGTGTTGGAGTCCACTTCCCTCATGGGGCTGGTGACACCATCACTCCCACTTGGAGCACTGACAAGCCAGCGGTACAGGGTCAGAGTATCATTGATGTTTTCCGTGGCGCAGATGGATCCGGTTTTGTCGTAGTCTGAATACTTGGGATTGCATGCCTACGGGTTGGCATTTACACAAAATAAAGGGGGTTATCTATTCTTACCTACACCTGCTCCAGGCAAGCAAACTGCTAAGCGTTATTCTAACAGTACCGTCCTTATTACTAAAACTGTATCAGCAAAATAAGGCCTTTATGCAGGCACACTATTTTCCCGTTAATCAAGGGGATATGAATGAATGCCCTGGGGCTTTTTTAATTAAAAAGAAGAACAAACAAACAAAAAAACCAAACCCCAGATAGTAGTGAGTAGTTGTTACAACTCACGTGTCGCCTCTGACCATGCAAACTTGGAAAATGCTAGTGCTAACTCCAAAAACTGAACTCTTATTTGACAACATCAAAGTCAGTTCTCCCAAATTCAGACACCCTAGCTTGAAAAATCCTGGTGTGGAACCACTCTAATAAATTAGAAACTGTTAGAAACATAAAATGAATGGCCTGAATTCATACATTCCTGGCAAAGAGCTGCCAAGTTACGACTGCACCCTCCCCAGCAGTCTGTTGCTGCTCCCACAGCAGAATCAAGCAGGAGTGAAGATACGTGTGCTTTTTGCTAGCGCAAAATTCAGCTTTTTTTTTTTTTTCCCCTCTCAAAATCACCCTTGATCAACAGTTTAAAACACCTGACTTCACACAGAAGCAGCAGGCACACAAGTAGGTGTCCCTCTGCCAGCTCTGTCTGGGAGAGCAGTCTCCTGCAGATGGGACAGACGGCTGATACCAGAGGCTGTTCAGTCAACTTTGGTAAAATCTGCTGCTCAGCTGCTCATGCCACAGCTCTGCTCACTAAGGCCAGTGTGCGAACCGTTTCTGGAAAGCTCTGTATGGCCCAGCCACAGACCTTTTTTGGGCAGCACTTATCTCCTCCTCACCTTCCTGCCTGCCCAGCTTTGGGTTTAGAAATCTCTATGTTTTCTGGCCCTAATTCCATGTCTCCCAGTCATCCCCTGGAACTCGTTATTAGTTTGACAGCACAGCCTGGTACCCAAGACCTATTTAGGTCAGCAAGAAACACTCACTGCAGAAAGAGCTGTCACAGGTTAGGGGTGTTAGTGACCCTCTCTCGGGAGCCCTCGTTCTCTGAGTTAGGTCAGCAGAAAGACTTATGCAAGTGCCTCTGACACAGTAACAGCCTGCTGCTTTCAGTTGTGTTTTGCAGAATTTAATACTTTTTAAATTTTCTTACGTGGTCCAGAGCGTGGAATGAGTAAGTTGGATGAAAGCATGCAGAAACAAGCCTTACCGTTACACAGACAACAGGATAGCCAGTTGGAGGGTGTGGATTCTCTTTGCTTCTAGCAGTATTGTCATACATCAGAAGGGAGACAACCTGGGGCACAGCTGGAAACGTCACATCTGCAACACTGTCCATTTCTTCAATGTACACAATGGCTTTACTCATCTGAGTCGAGAAAGAGAAAAGATTATGTATGCTGCTGAAAATAAGGAATGGAGGGAGAAGGAGAAGTAGCGCCTGCAAGTTAATTTCTGCCACCAAGCTCATTCTGGTTTTCCCCAGGATTCTTTGATAAAATGGTGACTTGTATTAAGGAAGATTCACTCCTCAGTGGTTTTTAAAGGTTTTCCACTTAAAACCTGTTCATCAGCAACTAGCTAAAAATTAAGGAAGAATTAATTCCCCAAACACTAGGAAAAGGGAAATAAAAGTATTCCCATTTTTCTTTAAAAAAAAAGTTAGCCTTGCAAACAGTCAAATATTCCAATTTTTCTTTAAAAAAAAAAGTTAGCCTTGCAAACAGTCAAACACCCACCAGTTGCTCACTCACTCCCCATCCCATCTTCAGCACGGCAGGAGGAGGAAATAGGACGAGAAAGCTCGTGGGTCCAGCTAAAGACAGGGAGATTGCTTACCAATGACTCTGTGGGCAAAACACACTCAACTTGGGGAAAATTAATTTACTTTATTGCCAATTAAAGTAGATTTGGGTAGTAAGAAACAAAGACAAACATTAAAACACCACCTTTCCTCCTCATTTTCCCATGCTCAATGTCACTCATGACTCATCTACCCCCTCCAAAACCTTGCCACAAACATAAAATACAAAAACAAACCCCCAAACTTTCCTAAACTAATTCCAGAGACCAGGTAGTAGCTTCAGCCTATGCATCAATTTGATCTCACTTGACAGCCAGTTTAGGCTTTTACCAAGTTAAGCATTAAGGCTGTGTGTTAACTTTAGAGCCTCTGTTTTTAAAATAGTGGCCTACAAATTTATCAGGGTATAATATACATGATGTAATGGATCCCAGGGCCATACTTTCGCTGCCTGTAGTAATTTACTGTATATAGTACTGAAGTAAGAAGTTGCTAGTGTTTGAGTCAAATCGGATCTTAAATATAGCCCAAAATGGCAGGTGGTGCTCTTCAGAACTGTAGTAGCTCTAACACTTGCTGTGCTCTCCTCTGCTTCACCAAAATAAAGGAAGAAATGGGAGGCGACTCTATGCCCATCTGTCCCCATTCGTGCCTTCCTCCCTGCCCACAGACCTCCCACCACGGGAAGGGGTGGAAGGCCTCACGGAGCTGCACTGGGGCACACGAAGTGACGCAGAGCGCTGATCAGAGCGGCATGGCTCTGGGTTGCCTGTGTCTCTGCTACCATGTTCTCATCAGCTTTCAGGTGGACAGTAAATGCTTCTCTCATTTCTCTTACGCCGCCATATAGAATCTCTACTTCAACAAAATGCTCAGTTTCTCCTTTTCTGAATTCAGTATCTGATTAAAAAAAACCCCCAACAACATGTGCCCTTTCCGCACACGTTTAGAGAGGGACCAATGCAGTCTCTCTGTTGTACTCTGTCCAGCAGCCAGAGACACTATTAAGACAAACAAAACCTGACAATCACAGCTTCTTGCTTTCTTTTTTTTGTATTTTTAAATCTTTTGATGCAACGGGAAAAGTCAGAGGAAGTTTCTACAAGCCAGTTAGTGCACTATACTTTCCTAAGATGTATACCAATAACTTGGAAACCAGTAACTTCTCTGTGAAGCATATAGTGGGTCACACATAAAATTTGTAGTTCAATGCTTCTAGACTTTGTTCCAAGTGTGTGGATTTACAGCTAATTTAATACTGGTATTTAGACAGGTAGGCATCAAGCTAACCACAGGAGCGTATGAATACCAGGCTGTCATGCACGTTGTGAGTACATGTTTTTTTAGATGTTTTTACATAAATAAAAATTTTATTGTTATTACAAATGGCAACTTTTGTTGTCAACAGTGGTTACCTGTGTCTCTGCTACCATGTTCTCATCAGCTTTCAGGTGGACAGTAAATGCTTCTCTCATTTCTCTTATGCCATCATATAGAATCTCTACTTCAACAAAATGCTCAGTTTCTGCTTCTCTGAATTCAATATCTGATTAAAAAAAAAACCAACAAATTAATGCAAAATCAGGAGTCAAACAATTGTTTTCTTTGTCAATTGTGTTCAAGTAATGTATTCTTTGCAATAACATGTTTTTGCTCTAAGTAAAATGTACTAGTAGACTGAGCTGTTAGCATCTGTTCTTCAGCACAATGACCAAGTAAAACTAACCCACTTTTGCTGGACAGGAAAAAAAGATACAAGTTGATATTTATACCTTGTTGGAAGACTTAAAATAATATAAAAACATAATATCCTGACACGATTTTGCACCAAGTCAACTAGCTTTCTTCCAAACAATTCCTGGACACAGTTGAGAATTAGTATGGGGCAGGGAGGCAGTCTTCATGCAGAGATCCTGCTTCAGTGGCAAAGAAAGTTCAAGAGAGTGGGTCTGTATGCCAAGGAATGGTCCCAGGTACCTTATTATACCAGTACGGATACTGTCTCAGGCTCCATTTGCAGTGCATATTTAAGCAGGATCCAAAACACTGCACTTTGAACTGAAAAGTCAACATACGTGGCATTAAGTCTTTAGGAGACATGTTCATCTACATGAAATCCCAAGACAAGAACGGTCTATTAGAAATAGGCATCTGTGGTCCTTCCTCCAGAAACCAAGTGGGGATTGTTATTTCTTGCTAAAAGTCAGGAGGAAGTGGTACCCATTTTTCTGACACTAGCCCTCAGTCAATAGCATGAATACTCAAGAAATGAAAGACCTTGTTTTGTATTCAAGGTCATACCTCCCCGGGAGACACTGTAGAAGAGTTACTCCTCTAGGGAGTTTGCATGACCACCAGGCTATAACTGCTCCTGCGAGGGTGACACTCCATCAAACCCACGTCACTATGAGGAAAACAAAACCCAAATGCAGTGGGTCACAGAAAGAGAATATGGGTCTGTAACCTTGAGGCTTGGACTCTTTCCTGGGAGACGGGGGACCTGGGTGCCAGCTCCCAGGCTTTTCTACGAGAAGCATCCCACCACTGGCAACTCCTTGCTGTACATGCTTAGGGTAAGTCACTCTTCCATACTGCAGGATGACGAAAGCAGAATAAATCTAGATAATTGCCTTAAAATAGCAGAACCAGGAATTTAAGCATATTCCTGTATCGTCTTAAGCTGTCTACCATAACAATATCCTAACCCTCTGCCACCTCAGGGGACCTGAAGGCAAAGCTCAAGAACCAAATTCTGCTCAAACACATGACTTGGGCAGACAACAACCTGAGCTAGGCTGAACTTTCATTCTTACGAAGAAATCCTGAGTTTGCATTCCAGGTTAGGAAATTCAAAGTAGCCCAGAGCAAACAGGATCTCACCTCCAATCCAATGCTAATACAGTCCCTTACAGGTCCCACAATTCACTTGGAGAAAAACAAAAATAGACAATACTCAAATCTCCCATTCCAAAACACACAAAGTGAAGCAGGAACTCCTAGCCTAAAGTACAGTACTTCAGCTCCCTGCCCAGCATTCATTTGCAGGAAGGCACTTTCCAAACTAATGTCTCCCATACCCACACCCAATGAAGCCCTTACCTTCTGACATTGGATTGTAGTCTTCCCCTGAGGTGGCTGAGCCATCCTTAGTGTGCACTCTGACAATAGACACTTTGGAGCTATCACCAAGGCGTAGAACGTGGATTCTTACTAGTGCAATTTCTCCAGGTTCCTGAGGCTCCTGAATGCTGTGTTTTATTTTAGAGAATTTAATCACTGGTTCTAGATGAGAAAAAAAACCACAACAAAAACCTGAACATTTAAAAAAAAAAAAAAATTTACTCATGTCAACCAGACCAAGTGCAAATACTTTATCTGAGAGTGGATAGTCCAAAGAAAATGAGAAGGTCATAACAAACCTGAAAATCCAAAGTGATTGTCTGGCTATTAATTTATTTGGTTTATTGATTGCTGTCTGGAATGATCAAAGTGAAATATTTTGGAAACTGGAATTCAGATAGAAGTTTGTAGCTATTATTAAAAGGAGGATACCTGGTCCCCTGGTGTTTGCTTTAGTGCAGTCTAGAGTGGAATATTTAGAGATAAAATATGTTTAGCTTTTGAAGAAAGCAGTTACTTTTATAAGTTATTTATTCTAATGCATTGTCAAAGGTATGGGATAAATCTGATTTTCTAAAATGACTCTCTATGACTTGTAAGGAGTGCATTTTATAGCATTATCAATTATATTATGGTGGGGTTTTTTTGGTGGTTTTGGGGGGTTTTTGGGGGGTTTTTTTTTGTGAATTTCACCCAAGGCATCCATGATTCTCTCAACTTAGTCGAATTTATGACACTCTTATTAAAGCAACACATATATAGCAATAAATGCAATGGAAATAAACAAGAGAATTTCTCTCCCCATTATCCCACAAAAGGTAGACCCAGTGATGCATTCCAAATAGATTAAAAGGGTGCAAATTCAAAACATAAAAATAAAATACTTGACAGCTTTTTGAAAAACTTGGTACTGGGTACTTTGAAAACTGTTGAATCAAACACTGAATGGAATTAGTCCCATTTTCCCATTTGCAGCTACCTATGTAATCAATAATTAACATAAAACTCACTGTCGTCTTCATCCTTAATCTTGACCACGGTCTCTTTCTGATCCCCAATGGAAGCACCAAATGTGGAATCACTTTTTGGTGTTCCAAGCACCAATCTGAATTCCTCCTCCTCCTCATAAATTACATCATCCTCCAGAGTTACGACACAGGGCTTCTCAGTTTCTCCTGCAGAAAGGTATGAAGCAAGAACAAGACATTATCTTCACAGGAGTACAAAAGAGCAGGATAAAACCAAACCCCCACACTTTTTCAGGCTTGCCATAGAAAAGACAGTCTCAAGAACACAGAAGCAGAGACTAGCGCTGTCTGGCACACTTCATTTTTTTTGTTGTGTTTGAGTCAATCTCTGCTAAGGGAAAATCCCACGATTCTGCCACAATGGGAACTAAGCAGCATCCCTTGCAGCATTCAGCAGGGCGTTTTACGGCAAGGAACCTGCTGCTCTGATACTCCTCTGCTGAAGGTACTGCATCAGTATTATTTCTACTTACTCTCATGAACAAGCGCTATGCTCAAACGTGTAGCAGAGGATGTTCAATATTACTGAATTCTTTATTGTCCAACTTCAGCTATAAAAACCTTTGAAAGTGCTGCTGTCATAGTCACAAAACTAGTTGTTAAATAGTCCTCTGCCACCTTCTTCATCCACAGAAGCTCAACTGGCATAACAACTCCCAGAATGCCCTGGAGGTCTAGCTCTTATTTACTATCAGATTACTTGTCAGACAAAAGTAATGCATTATTTTCTAATTCTAAGGGGAAAATCTTACCTGGGAGAAACACCACTGCAGAATCATCTGTATTTGGCCTCTCCTTGTAGTCCATCATAACTTGGGCAGAACCCTGGCGAGTATAGCAACGCACTGTGGATTTATGGTTAATGTCACCGCTTCGATAAATGAAGGCCACCAGCTGTTCATCTTTTTCATTTGCCACGTACATTGGTTCTTTGAACTGGACTTTCGGTACTGACAACAGAACATGTTACACAAGTTGAAAAGGACCCTCACACACAGGCAGAAAATATTAACCACATTCCTCCATTAAAAAAAAAAAAAATTTTTCTTTAACTAAGCACTTTATTTGCTAACCTTTTACAACAAACTGAAGAAGGTTCAGATTTACATATACTTTTCAAACACATATTTTGAATCTCGATGAATTCAAATACTTTCCTGGTCTATGGCAACTATTGCCAACTTGGTACTAATTTAGTACTTCTCACAGTAGCTAAGACTTGGTGATTTTTTTAAAAACAGCATTTGAGCCACTTCAGAGCTGTGGGATTATTTTCTATAAAGCAGTCTCTTTGACCTTTGATGCAGAGAAGAAGTAGGTGCCTGATACCACAAGGGCAAAAAGGGGTGATGACCACAATTCCATCTCCTCTGAAAGCAGTACCAACTTTGCACTGACTTCAACAAGTGAGTATTTCAGAGTGAAACTGTAACTGCCCTTCAGAGTTCTGTTTGAGAATGAGCTTTCTAAAACAAAATAGCTTCTTTAAGTCTTTGAAGTGCAGTGAATTTGCAGAAACCTGAGACTGTTGAGAGTCAGCTCGGTTTATTTAGCAAGTGCTGGAGAACTTGTAAATGGTGCTGCGCCGACTGTTGTTTACTTTTAAAATTTTACACCTATCTTTTTTTTCCCCCCTTAATGCTCCCCTAGAAGAGACGATACAGTTACAGCTTCGTGCAATAGCAATCTGCATAATTATTTGAAAAATTTAGCTCCCTACAATTTGGTGTTCAAATAACTACTAGGGAAAAAATAGTTTAACCCCTATGGCTTCCCTACCTTCAAAATGAATATTCATTCAAACAAATAGCCTTAATGCACCAGGCACAAACAAATGTACTTTTAGCTCATGGCATTATGTTAACTTGTCCAAAACAGTATCTTCAAGTACATAATGAGAAGGAAGACAAGCCAGAGTAAAGAACCTGCACTATAGCCCTATGTTCCAACTTCAGGTATAGCACACAACTGTTAATCTTCATAATGTAGTTGGGGTAAATGATATATCACAGCACTTATACACATTGTAATTTATGCTACTGCCAAAAGAGCTCTTCCACCTTCTAAGCGCACTTAAAACACCGAAAGGAAAAAACGTCGGAAAAACTATCCCCCACCCTCTTTATACTTACAGTCAGTGACGGTGTCATTGATAAAGACAGTAGTTTTGCTAGGTTCCCCAAGCACTGCATTCGCGGGCATGCAGAGGACTAGTTCAAACTTCTCTGGCCCTTCCAGAATCGGCTGGCCCAAATCATCAAGAATGATCACTCGAAACACTTGCATGTTGACTCCCGGTGTAAAATCCAGGTTACGGCTGATGCCCACATAATCAACTCCAGCTGTTTGGGAAGCAACAAGACTTGTATGGTCAGTTACTACCATAAGTTAACATTCACTTGTACATTTGTGAAATGTGTTTGCAGCTGTTTCTATTGCTGTCCTGGAGAAAATTTAATTTAGATTTTTGTCACGTGCAAATAAATTTGGGAACAATGAACAGACAGTGCAATACACACACACACAAATACATATCTGGATCATCATTTACTCTTTATGCCATAAGCACAATTAAAACTTGTTTAAGATCCCTTAAACTGCAGAGTAACAGGCTACAGCCTCAACAACATGCAACAGACCTGAGGTCCACAGCAATTTAACCCTTTTGCTCAACTCTGGACTACATACATGAGGTTTTACTTAGCTATTTACCTTTAAAGGAGCAGATGTCCGTCCCAGAATAATTCCAGCTGTACCCTAAGAAAAAGTGTCTTGCACTAGACTAGGTCACTGAGCTTGAAAATCATGCTGTTACCACTGTCTCACCCCTAAAAGAAGCAGGCAGACTGAGTGCAAGTGGGAGCACCTAGAATTACTTTTTTGTCTGTGTATGAGACTATTAAATCTAAACTGGAAGATGTATGACGACTTCACTTCTTCCTTCTGCTTGTGTCCCATTGTTTCACTGAGGTTCTGACTATTTCCGTAATTTTACATTCTTTTTCGCCCGAGTGTTCCTCCCTATCCCCTTTTAAGTGTTCTACTTGTTGCTTGTAACGACAGCAATTCTTTCCCTTCTTTGTCACAGTATGTTGAAGTTTACATACCTAAAAGCAACTGTGCCTTTTTGTTTTACACATCATTATGCAGCCTCCGGATTAGAGGCAAGGAACACTTGCCCGCATAAAAGCTGACCTCCCTGGTCGGCTCTGTGCATCAGGAAGAACTACAAGTCTTGCACAGGTTTTGTTCTTCCCTTAATCAAATATTATGTGCATAGGCATTTCATATACAACCATATTAATATTTTTGCGTGCAAAACTCTGTAACTACTTGAAAACTATGAAAAGATTTAGTGAAAAGAATTTTTTTCCAAATCTCATAACTAGGGTTTAACAGAAGTGATTTTTAAAAAAAACCTATAAATACAAGACCAGAAATGCAACATTACTTTGCTACTTTATACACAACACAGAAAATCCTGTAGGACCCAATCATATTTCTTCACCTGAATAGTGAGTCTTCACATATTCATCACATATATTGTCTATTTTGCTAACAACTTCTCTGTTCTTCAGAACCGTAGTCAAATTCTATTTCCATATATGTACCTTAGAAGTTAATTAACTGTTCCTTCAATACATGCTGCATCACTAGTTGCTATAATTCTTTGTTATTTTGGTAGCAAATCTGATTATGTATTACACACATATTAAAAAAGACAATTTTGCATTCAGCTTGATTAATATGAACATTTCTGAAGCCTTATCTGTCTCTTGCCAGCGTATCATCACTTTGTTGGGCTGAACAGAGAAATTCTCATTAATGCAACCAATTTCCTTGACACCCAGCAGCTATAACTGCTCCTTAAAACTAATTTAGCAGCTAGCAAGTCAAGCAACATATTTAAACAGCACCACAGAATTTTGGCCAGCTTAAGTATTCCCAAAGTCTGATAGGGAAAATGACTTTCTGTTGGGACTGAGAAATAAGAATAGGATTTTACAGAGGCAGTCACCAGATTTTGGGTATTTTGGGTCAGTGATGGACAGAGAAAATCCTTGGAGGTCACACTGGTGGTGCCTTCCAGAATTTCTCTCCACAGTAACTGAGAGACCCTAAAATGTCAGATACACCAGTTCTCGTAGATAAAGCAAGCCTCCTTGGCTAATGTACTGATAGCATCATTTCAGGGCAACTGCAGATTTATGCTGTAAATTCAGTTTTATTCCAGGGAAACACAGTATCTTGCTATAAAGACAATACTCTTTCACTCCAACTGTTTCTCCCGAAGTCTGCCATCGGTTAAGGTGCAAGTAAATTTACGGTCATTTTATTCATTCTGCAGTCTCCATCAGAAAGTCAGTGAGCTTCGCCGAGCTGCCCTTGCCACACACAACTGGGACATAAATATCATGTTTTCTACCTGATAAATCCACGTCCGATGTCTTTTATTTAACTTTTCCACCCCATATATACACTGAAGAGAACTAAGAGCGAATGCCAGATAACCCATTTTCATGCTCACATACTCTAAAGCAACCTGAGCGACATTTTTATGAGTAACTCACCCTCTGCTGACACTGGTTCTGTTTTTCTGGAACGCACCGTGACAGAAGCTGCTTTGGACAGATCTGTTCCAGTCCTCCAGACACGAATCTCCACGTAACCAGCGCCTTCATCCACTCCATATTCAGTGTTACCAAAGTACAAAGCAGGTTCTAAATACAGAGAGCAATGCATATATTTTTGAAAGAGCCTCTTCTGGCCTGCTCTTGTACACATGTATATTTAGTGCTTAAACTCTCCAGTCTGACTTTTAGTGCTCAAACGCTACAGTTTGACTTTTAATACGTTAATAGCTGGAAAAATAAAAAAAGCATTACCAATTTGCTCTGCAAATCCCACTAATATCTACCATCCACTTACATAAATATTATTATGCACCTGCCTTACCACTGCACATACCACTTAATGTAAGGGTTTTTTTTATCCTTTAAAAAACAAACTAAACACTCCTTGAATTAAGTAAAGAAAGTTATATCTATATGTTTTTGACCTTATCTGCAGAGATCTTCCACAGCCGGCTGTTCAGCTTACTGGCTGTTTACCTTACCATCCAAAGTAAAACAGCCATTTCAAAAATTGTGACTATGTAGCATAGACATAAGACATGGGATAGTTCTTCCATTATATTTTTGTTAAGCAAATCAAGCCAGCAATTTTTTTTGAAATTTACTATTAAAGAAAATATATACAATATAAAAATACACCTTCCCCCCTCCCCCCCCTTAAAAGATAAAGGCAGTTTGCAGGATTTCAAGAGTTCAGACTTTTTTTTTTTGAATTGTTTTCATGGATGATTAAAGGGTTACAAGCTGTTTTTTTCTTCAACGTAGTAAACTCACTTCAGTTATTCATAGGGAATACAAAAAGTTGCACAGTCCAGGTCACGGAAAAGGTCAATATTAAACTGGGTTTAAGCAGAGTCTGTTGTTTAGCATAAGAGATCAAACATCACAAGACTGTCTCAAACTAGCGCCAATTTAGCCGCCTTTCTGAATACCCATCAAGAAGAATGAAGAAGCACACACTGGAGACACGTTATACCTGCTGCTTGTACTAAGTAACGGGTAGAGTCTGCTAAATTCAATACGCGGCCCCCTTTACTTTTGTCACCTAAACAATAGTAGGCTTTATCTTGCTATCAGTACTAGTAAGAGCCTGACACATTTTTCCTGTGTTGCATACTACTACCAATCTATATTAGCACAATGTAAAGAATCTCTCCAATACCACAGCAATATTATTTTAGCACAATAGCCAGTATCTTCTTTAGTAGAACCGCCACAGTTGCACAAAAGCCTGGCACTCATCTAATACGCCGCATTTCTGTTGTACCTCTTGGGGAAATTCAAAGAACTCTGAAAAGCTTTAGAAGTCACGCTTGTTGTCTCCTACAGCTAGGGAAATGGAAGCTTGGGGTAAAACACCATGGTCAGGAAAGAGTTTTTAGTTTTTGACTACCTGGTGTTTTCCAGAGCTCAGTTTATTACTGAGCTTAAAGCCAGTTTTACAGAAGGGAGAGACAGTTTCCAATGACTCAATGTGCCAAGTAGAGAACAGAAAAATACACAGGCTTTTCGATATAACGTGAAGCAACTCAATAATAAAAGCGCCTCATCCTAGTAATAATTTTTTACACTCTGGATCTCACCTTCCCGAACCTAAATAAATGTTCTTTTGCGAATGGGGGAGAATATCTAGCTAAGTTCTTTTCTCAGCTAATTGAGAATTTTATATTTGCCTAGAGGCACTATCTGCTTCCTCCATGTATATATATAAAAACATCAGAACACCACCTGGCCCATTGCCACTCCAGCTTGCAGGCACCTTTGGATACTTACTGTAATTTTCTTGAGCCACTGTGAGCTGTGAACCTTCGCGCTACTTTTCCATCAGAGCAAACCCTGATAATCACAAAGACTTGCTGCAGAAGCAGATGAGGTCTTCAGCACACAGTACTAAGGAAGGTACAGAGTGTTCCAAGCAGGACTGCATTAATATTTATTTTCAACCTTTTGACAGATTACCTTTAAACAGGCTGAAACAATTCCTTTCTTAGACAGCCTAGCAGGATGTCTGACAAAGCAAAGCTTTTGCATGCAAAACTCAAGAGAAAGGTTAGAGAATGAAACCAGACACGTGACGATGGGTTAAATAGTTTAACAAAACACAAAGCTCTTTGAAAATGTGTTTTTTCGAGGGACAGATCTATTCATCAGGACTGCAGGACTTAATTCTAGCTAAAAATCGCAGCCTTTCGGGGATGGAAGGTGTTGGCTTTCTTCTTGAAAAATTCTTTTTCAATTCTTGAAGTATTGTTGTGTTTTAAGAAAAACGGTATCACAACTGAAAGTCAAACTGAATGTCTCCTTCTATGTCACTGAAATACTAAAGCTGTTTTCAAAGAAAATTTTGCTTCGCCTAAAGCAGTACCCCAACACAAATTTTTCTCTCCCCCTTCCTCCCACCCCTCCAATCAGCAGTTTCAATGATCAGTTATTTTCCAGTTTTGGCATTTTTCCCCCTGCCGTGACAGTTTGAAGATGATCGCATTCCCCTCCCACCGGCTATGCAGTTTTTACTATTGAAGTCTTCCCCACATGGGTGGGGAGGGGAGTAGGAGTCTAAATATCCAAACTTACATGCCTTTTTGTCACAGCTAATGGATTATTAAGTTACTAATGATGCCCTATAAGTTGTTACAGTTCTGTTTAACCAACTTGTGTAAAGCACAGAAAGAGTAATTCTTCACAAAGGCAAAGGCATCACTCCGGGTTATATCTGTGTCACTGGGACCAGAATCCTACTTCAACTGAGTGGGCAGAAAAATCATTGGGGTCCCCCACGAAGAGTAGAAAAATCATTTGGAAAAATACAACTTGACAAAAACTGTTACAATTTTGGCCACATTTCGTGAAGATGATTACTGCAGAGTATTTATTCTGGCAAAAGTAATCAAGAATCTTTGTAATT